TGCACTATGTCAAAGTGGGTGGGTGAGGTTAAAGCCAAAGATTACGTTACCAAATGAAAGAAAGAATAAAGACATCCAGTTACCATGGCAAAGAAAGACTAATAACTGCTTCGTCCTGAACACATAAATCTGGTTTCAATCGTTCTAGAAATTGCCCTGGTAACTGGATGTCTTTATTCTTTCTTTCATTTGGTAACGTAATCTTTGGCTTTAACCTCACCCACCCACTTTGATATAGTGTAATTTTGCTTGTCTCTTGTTTCTATGATTTGAGTTGGACTCAGTACATTGTTACCCAATTTATTAGTCACTCAGCATCTTAAGCATCTCTCTCGGCTTTATTACGTAACTCCTTTACCATTCATTGTGTGCATACATTTACTTTGTTTAAACTTGAACTGCCTGTGTAAGAACTGTATAAGCGCAATTTTCTGAGCACTGTTCACTAATTCCGGAAACTTCGGTTAACTGATATCATGTAAAATTTGCAAGTATGTTGAAACTTTTCTGTACATGAACTTAATAATATTTATTTAGGCTGTAAGCAGCTGATGAGAAGCCGACGAAATAAGCAATGATGGTACCATCTTATTATTCTGCACAAACCACCACTGTTGTTCTTCTTACTTTATTCAAATTTCATAGGAACATTTTTCTCAGATCCCACCTTTCCTTATAACCCACATTTTATACGTTTGTAATTACGGGGTTTTTAAAACAGCCTGTAAGAGGTGCAGCTGCTGAAACTGACAACAGTCTCGTATCAACAGTTGTTCAGTTGGTACCAGCACTGAAGGGATATGGCATCCTAGAAAATGGAGAGGCTTACTTCCTTACTGGGAGAAGGTATCGTCGTACATGGGGATGAAACTACCTCATTAAAGAGAAAATGCAACCATATTCGAGAACGAGCGACTGGTGACTGGATTATATGATACCCCTCTACTGAAAGGATTCGTCGAGAGGATAGCAGATATGAAGTCAACTACCTTAATACCTATTATCACTCGATTTGTGAAACAGGGATCTACAATACTCACCGATGAGTGGAAAGGTTATAACTCCTTGTCATCTCTTGGATATATTCACCACAGAGTCAACCATTTTAATGATTTTGTGGATCCCATTACAGGGACCCTCACCGACGCTATCGAAGGCTTTTGAAGAAGGTTAATTGACAGGATTAGAACTATTAATGGATTGCAAATCGATGTCATTTATAGTCATTAGAATCAATATATGAATAGGATGTGATAATCACAAGTGAGAGAAAGGCATCCTCTGTAACACTTTTATACAGTTTTTATGCAGTTTTTTTCCCCATAAATATATGTATTCCATACTCAAAAATGCCTCCTTTATGTGATTGGCGCGTTCAAGGTCATTCACTGATTGGTAGTTACCGGTGCTTAAAGTTTAACCTTTTGCAGAGAATTTCAGTGGTATCTCAACACAGAATTAAATTTAAGTCAATTTCACTTGACGATCTCCCCAGGGTGTGTCTGATCCACCCGCATTTTCTTCGGTTTGTAGTATACTTCACAGAAATGCCGACTGCGGAAAATGCCGATGATACAGTGTTGTGTAGATAAATAAACCGATTCTTCTGATGTACTGATTTTTAGGTGATTCAGCTAATTCCAAGGGAAGTATCATTTCAACTACAAGCAGACGGAACTGATGAGGATATCAGAGCAGCGAGGATCGGGAAAGCAAGTCAAGCTTTCAACGGCACTTAGCATGAAAAACAAGATCCGGATTTTCAACTCCAATGTGAAGTCAGTGCTACTTACTATACGGATCAGAGACTTGGCGCCGCGTCACGAAGAGCACTTCGAACAAACTACAGACCTTCATCAACAGGTGTCTTCGCTCAATAATACTCAAGATCAGATGGCTGGCCAGAAAAGATCAGCAACATTGAGGGATTTCTGGCAATGAACGAACCAACCCAGCAGGAACCGATTGTGCAATAAAAATGCAGGAAGAAATGGAGGTAAATTGGAAGCCATACTCTGAGAAAACCATCAAGTGAGTGACATCACAAGTCAAGCCATTGCTCGAGTGGAACCCGAATGGGAAGCAGCGAGATTGTCGTCAGTGAAAGGATGAAATAGAGAAGGAGGTCATAAGAAGTGAACCGAACTTAATGGAGACGTGCGCGGCTGAAGCTCTATGTTCCTCTAGGAACTAAAGCAAACAATAATAATAACAACTAATTCCAAGAGAGATTTTATCACAAATCGTTTTCAGTCAGAGAACCTTTGAGAAGCCGGGAGTAATGGACAGTTGTTTCGTCCTAGCTTGGGACTCTTTAGCACAATACACGTCCCCTCCATACATCGAACCCAAGATCTTCAGTCAATTTACGAAAAAAAACTGAACCTAAAATGAGCAAAATCCCTAAAAACTATTGATTGAAAATATAGAAGGAGGCACGGTTTCAACCACAGACAGTCGGAACGAATGAAGATGTGAAAGCCAGCCAGCCAGCCAGCCAGAATCGGAAAGGTATGATGCGCCTTTATCACTTACACAAACCGGTTCGGAAATCTTCTTCATTCACATATAAATCACAAAATTTGGATTCTGTTCAACACAAATGTGAAGTCAGTCAGTCAGTTCTTCTATACGAGTCAGAAACTTGTACTACGCGTGAGTCGCGAAAAGTATTTCCAACAAGTTACAGACCACCAACATCAACAGCTGCCCACTTCGCTGGCTGGCTCCATACTCAAGATCAAACGGCCAGCCAGTCAGCCAGCCAACCAGAAAGAATTAGCAAGAAGAAACTCTGGCTGAGAGAACAAACGAACAGGCGATAGACGATTGCTCAACAAATATGTAGGAGAAAATGGAGATTGATTAGACATACTCCACTGAGGAGGTCATCGAATGACATCGTACGTCAGCCAGACGATCACTCGAGTGGAATCCGAGTGATTCGTTGGCTCGAAAGTGACATGGAGGAAGTCGTGTGTTGGGAGGAGGAGGAGAAGATGAGAGATTATGCGCAATTGTGGAGCTAGCCAGCTGAAGAGGACAGGAGGAAACAGAACAAACTGGAGATTTGTTGTTGAAGCCCAAGGAAATAATATATAATGACTGAAAATTGCTTCAGCCTATTGCAATTACTTCTTTTTTTTTTTAAATTGATGGAAAAATTACTTTTACTTCGTCTTGAACCTTCATTGAAAGCTTTTAATGATCCTAAGCAATTTGCATATAAACATGGTAGAAGTACCTTGGATGCTGCGGTTGTCTTATATCATAATGTTGTTTCTTGTTTAGACAAAGGTGCCAAATATGTTCGTGGTGCTTTCCTAGACTGCACATCTGCGTTTGACTCTGTACCTAGGGGCTTTTTACTAAATAAGCTTTTGTTGACGCAAACAGGATCCTGGGCCAAGAGTTGTTTGCATTCTTATTTTTCTGATAGAATGCAGTGTACTGCATATAATGGCAAATATTCTTCTGTTTTGGTTACAAAAGCCGGTGTTCCTCAAGGTGCCGTCCTCTCTCCTTTTCTTTTTTATTTCTTCCTACACGACCTGCCTCATTTAAACGAAACTAATTTTGTCAAATATGCTGATGATCTGACTGTGTCACTGCCTATCACTTCCGAGTCTGACTGTTCCAAACTTAATAGCTTTCTGTTGGACATCAGCAAGTGGTCTAAGTCAAATGGTCTTATGTTAAACCCTTCCAAATGTCAGGCAGTTAACTTTACTTCCAAGCATCGACGTGACGTTCCCATGATGCCTGTAGCATAGATGGCACAGAAATTGAAACCAAGTTAAGCATTAAATACCTTGGATTAGTTCTTTCCTCTTTGACCTTTCATGGTCATCCCACATCTTATCAATCTCTAAGAAAATGTTTCGTCTTACCTTCTACATTAAAAAGTTAAGACAATCAGGTATCAACCAACCTTTAGTTCTGCAATTTTTAAACTCCTGTATTTTACCTATTGCACTCTATTGCTCTCCATTAATCTCTCCTGGGCTTCTCAAAAAAGACTCTATCATATTACGAAGGGTATTAAATGCTGCGAGTAGGGCTTGTGGTCTGCCACTGCTTGAGCTCGCCAATACTATAGTCGAGAGACACGTAAATTCCTGTACAAATTGGGCAAAGGCCGTACTGTCAGACCCTCTGCACCCTCTTTATTCACAACTATCCCCTTGTATCTCATCAGGTGGGACGAGAAGTCAATATAAAAAGTTAAATGCTCGAACCACTAAGTACAAAAATTCTACAATGCCGTATTTAGACCGTATTTTATGTGATGAAGACTCTGTTAGACGTGAAACATATAAGTTACTATGTAATTAGCATAATGAATCGACCCTTTCATTGTTCATCTTTCTGTAATTTTATGGTGTCACCCTTTCTATCGTTTAATTATAACTTTGCTATTTTTATTTTAGTTGTCATTACTATTATTACTACAATTTTATACTTTATGCATATTTTTCTCCGTATAGCATACAGAAATTTGCTAAATAGATGCTATAACAATGTTTTGTTATTATTATTATTATGTAATGTTTATTTTTTATTTTGTACTTTTTGTCGTTTTTGAGTAAATTAGATGCAATATTGTACTGAATGCTGAAAATTCTTTGCTGTATCATTAGTACTGTTTTCGGAATAAAGCAAATTATTATTATTATTAGAGAAATTCTGTCATCATCGTATCAGAGGTGATATTCGGTTATTTTACCGAATTCTTCTGTACACAGTTGGAATATTTATTGTGGAGTTTGGTATACACTGCGCGAAAACACCACCTTGTGTTTATCCCTATTTCACACGTCCACTTTTCAATTGCGCGCACATTTTCAGTCAGACATTTTCAATGTCAGAGATAAAATAAAACAAATTCAAAGAACATTTATTTTATACCAAAAAATATTTTCAAAAAAATAAAAAAGAAGTAAATCAAAGGAGACAAAATCAAGAAGAAGAAGAAAAGAAAAGAAAATCAAAATTATGCTCTGTTTTTAATGCGATCAGTTAGTTGATGGGAAGTAGTAGTTTTTTCGAAAGCAATCATCAAACTCTGTAGTCTTGGAGACGACTTCTTTTTTTTATTGACTAATGATTATAAGATCTAATGATTGATGCTTCCTAAATAACTCTTGTAATTGATTAGTATCCAACTGGGTACATGACATTCCATTGACTTGGACAATTTCATCACCAATAGAAATTCGATTATTGATTGAGTTTTCTTCTTGACTGAATCGATCTGACAGACGTGTAACACGATAACCTGTAAAAAAGCAACAACAAAAATACAATAACAACAAAGTACAGCGAAATATATATGCGAGTGTTCAAAAATCCCAGAGTAGTACTTCATAGTTGGAGAACCACTGGAAAACACTGGAGTTCTGGACAGTTGTTTTGTCCCGGTTTGTGACTCATCAACAGTACGCATCCATTGGGGCTACAGGACGAAGTTATGATTTAGAATGGCCGGTGACGACGTCGGCTGGTGCTAGTCACGCCAAAATCACGAATTGGTTGGGTGGGGGGGGAGTTAGAATTCATGCGCTGGTCATTAAGTCATGTTCTAATTGATGAATGATTTGACAGCTTGCCTTTTAACCGGAAGATCCTGGGTTCGAACCCCGGTTGGCGCGCACTCCTCTGAGCTTCAGCTTTGCAGTTTCAGTAGACGTCGTGTTTGCTCTTTACGGAGTGGGATATCTAACCTCAAGCCCAACCTTCCCTCTTTACCAGACCAACTTATCAACCAAGCGATTTATAGGACTTTGCCAACCAGGGGTCGAACTCCAGACCAAGTGCATAGTTGGTGAGTGTCCTACCATTGAACCAGTAATGCACCAAACTAGTGAACATTAATGAAGTTTTATAAGATTTTAAAAGTCCTAAGGAGTGAATTCGTTGACACAATTTAAACAATTTTCAACCAATTCACGAAGTCTTCATTCACGAAATTTTTTCTACATGAAGAATCCAGACAGTCAATCTACATCCCTCTATGCGGTCCACACTAATATTAAATGACGATGTGAATTAATGCCTAAATCAGTATTAACGGCAGAACTTAGATCATCGCCTGACTATTCAATATTCTTCCTGTTTGACACCTGGACTACCTTTCTGTACATCTACATATTTGCATCTAATACATCATGTTTTCATTTTTAATTTTAACAAAATATGATCACAAATCGTATCAAATACAGTAATGAATTCATTAAATGTTTTAAACCATATGACTTTCATGCATCTAATAAAACTAAGAGAAAACATCATGGTGGTTGGCAACGTGCTCTCAAACGAACACCATTATATCGCACAACTATTCCTGTTATTGTCAGTTCAAACTGCCGTTCACTTCCCAACAAAATTATGCATCTCCAGTCTCTCTTATCATCTGATACTTATCACAATACGGCGATAGTCGCATTACAAGAAACATGGCTCCATGATCTTTATGACGACAACCTAGTTTCTCTAAATGGTTTTACATTGTTTAGACAAGATCGAATATGCTCTAGTAAGAAAAGAGGTGGTGGCGTCGCAACCTTCATTCATTCTCAGTGGTCAACTTCAAATAATGTATGTTTTTCTTTCTCTAGTGACTTTATTGATTGTATTACAGTCAAACGTCGTCCGAAACACTTATCCAAGTTTAAATACGTCTTCATCTCAAACATTTATGTTACTCCTGGTTGTTCCGCCTCGGATCTATCTGATTTTGCCGATGAATTCACAGCATTCGCGGTTACACATCCTGAAAACTCTTTATCAGTTGTCACAGGAGATTTCAATACCTGTGACTGTTCTTTTCTTGAATCATTAGGTCATGTCAATATTGTCAAATTTCCAACTCGACTTGATAAAACGCTGGATCTAGTATTTACTAATGATGCGGAAATATATGAAGCACGCAGACGTGCTCCTATAATGAACTCTGATCATTGTATTATTCGGATATTACCCAAGATATATAGCAGATATCACTCAAATATCCTCTCAAATCTCTCCAGAAAAACACAACAAAGATGTTACTCACAAGAAAACGTGCTCAAACTAAGACGTATGTTAAATGACACAAACTGGGAACTTTTCACTGAACACACACTGGATGATACTATTTCCAATCTGACTGACTATCTTAAATTCTGCCTTGATGTATGCTGTCCAAAACAGATACTTTTCAAAAGAATAGACCGTTTCTCTTCCCCTTATCTCAAAAAGCTTCGAAGAGAAAAAGGGAGACTGTACAAGACTTTCTGTACATCTATGTACTACTTAAAAAACTTGTCAGTAGTACACATCATACCATGACTATCTTATCAGTCTTTAATATTTGTCAAGTTTACAGAAGAATGGATACTGAACAAAGAATACTCTTTTCGATAACCCCTTCATCATCAGGCTCTACAGTTATATATACATAATAGTAGTGAATGAATGAATTAGTGTTATGAACAACATTAATGTCGTTTTCAAGTATTGGTTTTGTAGGGATTTTGTTTGATTGCATGGAGGATTTCATCATGAGCTAACATCAGTTAGAGAACCACTGGAAAACCTGCCAGGGAGTACTGGACAGCTGTTTCGTCCTAGTTTGGGACTCTTCATCAGTATGCACCCACCGGGATTCGAGCCCAGGACCTTCTGGTTAGTAGGGTACAGCAGGTTGAAGATGAGGCAGTAACTCATCGAAGAAGACATTGCGAAATGGTCGCGCTATGTTGTGAATTGGCAGAAATTAGAATTCAAGGACCATTGGATCGGGTCCCAGTGGCTCAATGGTCTACGAGCTCGCCTTGTAACCAGAAGGTCCTGGGTTCGAATCTCGGCGGGTGCGTACTGATGAAGAGTCCCAAACTAGGACGAAACAGCTATACAGTACTCCCAGGTTTTCCAGTGGTTCTCTAACTGATGTCAGCTCATGATGAAATCCTCCATGCAAATAAACTGAATGTCAGAAAAATTAGGAAAGATAATAATACAAATTCATGAATTTATAGTCTCTACTGAAGGCCCGCCAGGGCAGTAGTAGTGGCTGGCTGGATTTGTTTCTTTTGCACACAGAGCACTGGTTGTTTGAGGTGAATTGCAATAGCCTCTGCTGTCTCGAGCATGCGGTACCTGGATGTTTTCGGAAATTTATTTGGTTGGTACCCGGTAGATGATAGAGAAGGATTCTTCAATGCTGGCTGGCCGGTTTTGTGGCCGGCCGGTTTGCACCAGATGGTCTAATATCTTTACTTACTTTACTTCGGCTATCTCCTACGGGAGGATGAGCCGGCTTCATGAACATCTCGAATCATCGCTGCCCAGGCGCGGCGATCTGATGTTTGTAAGAGAGTTCATGAAGTTTCATGGGAATTTGGTACGAGTGATGTCCCCAGAATCGTTCGGCCTTTTGTTTGAGAGTGCAGCTCTAGCCTTTACACAACCAAGTGTGACCTACAAGGCAGTAGGAGTGGAGTAGGGAGTCCACTATCCATTGGCAGCCGGTGACCGGAGTTCGGTTCATACGCCTTTTTGAATGGGGCCAGACATCCAGGACATCCAACAAGCCCTTTGTCCATACGTCTGCTGGTGAGCTCCAGTGAGCTTCATACGCCAGTCGTTGGAGGTTTGGAATCAGGGTTTAGCCATCTCCCCTACATTGTCATCCAATGGACAGTCAACCCGGTGAAGAGCGCCGGGCATCCGCTTTCGCCCTCTCACTTTGGTGAAAAACACCTCCGCCACGTGAAGGCAGTGAGTAGGACTTCCTCAGGAGAGGCTATGTAAGACGCCCGGTCATATGGGAGCATTTCAAGAGGTGTGCGGAGGGGTGGCCAACCCGCAGCGCAAGGCACCCACCCCTGACCATCCTGAGGCTTTGGAGGCTATGGTCTAATATCGATAAATGCTAATCGTTTTCACTACACCTTTACTTAGCCATAGTGGGATGGATAATGAATCAATACACATCAGTGATACATCGTCTTATTAATCTTCAGGAAAAACAAAACAGAAACTGTCGGCGTGATGATGCTAAGCAAAGAAACTGGTCACTCTTTACACACACAAACTCTTAACTTGTCTACTTAATGGCCAAATTTCAAAACACATGACAAAACTCTCACCTTGTTCAGATTTGATGACAAATAAACCAAAAGAATCACTGAGATTTGGTCTTGAAACTGTTACATGTCTTGAATTAGAGGAGAAGGAGGAAATCTTTTCAACGTAATCATCCCCGCCTTCATTCTCTTTATCATTCTGAGAATCGAGTAATCCAATCACTGATATCGTTGAAAGACTATTCGAATCAGATAGTCGATTATTTTTCAAATTTGATGAACCACTTGTTGTCAGGGATGATGATGAATTTGAATGCCGTAGAACATTACACAAACTACTGAATGTACGTCGGGCTGATCGTCTTAATCCCTTGAATATATCATAATTTTCAAATCGCATAGTTGACTGTGAATTTCCAGTGGTCATGTCATGTTGATGACATTCACTGTCTGATGATTGTACAGTTGTCGGAGTTGGTGTTGGTGTTGTTGTTGTTGTTGCTATCGTTGATAGACTTCCAGTGCTACTTCGTCGAGAAAATCGTTTTGTTGTACCTAGACTCCATCGAGTGTATTTTGTTGAAGTAAGATTAGTTTTCTTGACAGTCGGTGAGGATAACGATGAACTGGTATCATCATAACCAAGAAGATTTAGAAGATTAGGTTGATGAGATTCTGTTGAACTGTCATTCCTATTAAGCAAAAAAAATAAAGAGGAGATTATACGCAATTGTGGAGCTAGCCAGCTGAAGAGGACACGAGGAAACCCGACCGAAAGCTGCTACCTTGACATGGTGGTCGGGCTTGAACACCGCAATGACCCAACAAGCTATACTGGCTGAGACTTATGTCGCTTGAGGTCCTACCATGTCAGAAAGGTTGCTTTTTGGATAGCGGTTAGACAAAAATCAGTTACCCAACCCAATGCTATGACTCAAAGTAAATCACAAAATATCATGCCGGGTCGGTCGGGGCCTGGATTAACAACGACCGCGCTTGCTGCTGCCGTGTCACAGGGCAGAAGTAATAAATATGCTACTGAGACACACACCAAATGAAAAAGAACAAACAAAAACAGGCCGCGTGTGACCGGCTGGCGTCAAGCAGTTGTCCCCCACAATCATTACGGTGTGGGCAGCCGGAAAGTAACAATCGCCCTCACAATGCGAAATGCACGCGAAACCTCTCCAGACACGAGGAAATAGAGTAAACTGGAGATGTGTTGTTGAAGCCCAATGGAATATTCGGTTGAAAATTGCTTCAGCTGTGAACTAAGCGTTTAGAGAAATTCTGTCATCATCGTATCAGAGGCGACATTCGGTTATTTTACCAAATTTTTCTGTACACAGTTGGAATATTTATTGTGGAGTTTGGTATACACTGCGCGAAAACGCCGCCTTGCGTTTATCCCTATTTCACATGTTTTCAACCAATTTTCCAGTGTAACGTTAGGCCAAGTGTGTCTTTGCCAGCCTCGTTTCAAATGGTCCGAAGATTGACTCCCGACTGATCCGCTCCTCAACCTTGCTTAGCCAGTAGTAAGACCGGTAGAAGGGGGGGGGAAGAAAAGGAGTGGGAGTGAAGCTGCTAGCCTCACCACCTAGGAAGAAACAGCACTGCTACTGGAAATTCAGGGCTGAAAGCTTGAAGCCCCATGTTCAACTTGGAGCGCAAAAGGACAGCAGGTCTGCTTTTAAGCTTTCATTATAAGCAACTCAAATATAACTCAAAAACTACTTACATTCCATGCAACTGGCAATGAGCCCGTTTGAACATGACGCGTTATTTAGATGTCGAGCGCCTAGACCAGTGTGAGTTCCACTTATTACTGAGTAAGTTGAGTACTCAAAACTACCCTTTTTACAACTGCAGAGGGTGTCGTTTGATGACCAGCAGTGAGGAATCACGTGTAGTAGTTAGTCATCACTAACAGATGGGTAAGCTTTACTATATGATATTAGATGGTTGGAGGCAATCGGCCACAGGAAGCCTTGCCCAGACCTAGGTTTCGGGCTAGTGGAACATTCACTAGTTGCAAGCAAGGCATATCTACAAGCCTGACTGACAACAGAATTCAGTCTACACCAAAGAAAGGTCTGGCTGGCTGGCTGGATTCAACATAGAACTTGGCACCGAAGTGCAGCAGTTCGAGTTGCCACGTTCCAAATAGCACACAAAGGTAGACAAGAAAATGAGTGAAGAGAATCAATAGAGTTTTGACAAGTATAAGAGTGAAACAGAATGAGTAATGGTAGAAAGGAATATGAAAGATTACAGAGACTGAATACATCTGCGTAAGCCATTGACAACGATTTTTCAGCCATGTCACCTATTGTCTCCAGCCATTGATTCTTAGAGTCCCGAGGGCGGGCCCCAACCCGGAAGTCTGCATCTCCCTCCCTACCTGACTCAGTTTAACTGTCAAGGATTTCATGGATTGATGAGGCCATGTTTTTGTTTGGCCACCACTTACTCTTTTCCAACCCACAACACCTATATCAGCTAGTAATGCCCGTCCGTCGGGGGCAGGGAGGCGATGGTTAGGCATGTGCAGCACGTGACCTAGCCATCTCAATCTATGTAACTTTATAGCCTCGTCGATTGATTTTCCCTCTTTGCCCAACCAACACTCTACGCCTAACGTCAACATTACTTACCTTATTATACCACCTAACGCGAGAAAGAGATCGTAAACATCTGTGGTCAAAAACAGACAATCTCTTCATGTCTTCCGCTCTCAATGGCCACGTCTCACCGCCATAGAGAAGGACGGAAAAGAAAGGTCTAGACACATCACACTAGTTACTGACTAGTGTCCAATCAAATTATCTTTATACTACATGCTTACTGGAACAGTTTGTCACACTTCCCAATAAAATATAGAGAAGTCTGGTTTAAAATTTGTGATCACGAAATTAGTTTTTTTTTTTTAACAGCAGTGTATCCCCACCTAGCACTTTTAACCATGGTCACATGAAACTCAGACAGACAGTTTGAATACGTCTCACATCAATAGTTCATGACTTTGTAGACTGATAACTCATTTATGTCTGGCTGACATTTTTTTCTGTTCTCTGACATTAAATTATGACAGGTCTGATCACAAACTGACATCAGTTAGAGAGGTATTGGGAACCATACAGAGAGTGCTGGACAGTTGTTTTTTCCTAGATTGGAACTTATCAGCATTATGCACGCACCAGGGTTCTAGCCTAAGACCTTCCGATTATAAAGTGTGCTGACACACCATCCAGTGACGGGGTTCGAAACCCCGAGAAAATGTGTACTGCTAAAGAGTCCTAAGTTAGGAAGAAACAGTTGTTCAGTATTCTTTAAATAAAATTATTACTGAGTTATTACGGTATTGGTATATGTAAATATATGCAATGTGGATATAATCATACCTGTTTCCAAGGTCTGAGTTGAACATTTCGAAGGTATGGTCAATATTTGGTCGTTTCGCAGGAGTTGGTGTATCTATAAAAAAGGATAGGAACTCTTGAAATTCACAATGAAACATAATATTTGAAATATTAAAATTTAAGTGAGTTATTTTAAATTATATGCCACAAAACTGTAAACTGCTACTACTACGACTACTGATTTTCGAAGACGGCATAAGAGTAGACAGAGAAAGTTTCACACTCGAAGCCCACTAGACATATTTAAATTTGATTGGTTGGAGGATTTCATTATGAGCTGACATCGGTAAGAGAACCATTGGAAAACCGCCACCTGGGAGTACTGGATAGATGTTTCGTCCTTGTTTGGGACTCTTCACAGTACACACCCACCGCCACAGTTTGAACCCAAGACCTTCTGATTACAAGGCTAGCGATCTCGTAGACGATTAAGCCACTGGGACTTGACCCAATAGCCAGCCCATGAATTCTAACTTCTGCCAATTCACAACATAGCGCGACCACTTCGCAATGTCTTCTTCGATGAGTAACTGCCCTCACCTTCAACCTGCTGTACCCTACTAATCACGGCTTCCCACTAGAAACCCTAGGTGACTGCCTGAATAGGGCCAGTCGCTGATGAGCATCAGATTAATTTTCAAGTATTGGTTTTTGTAGGGATATTTATTGCTGGTTGGATCGGGTCTCAGTGGCTTAATGGTCTACGAGCTAGCTCGCACTGTAACCAGAAGATGCTGGGTTCAAACCTGGGGGGATGCATACCGTTGAAGAGTCCTAAACTAGGACGAAACAACTGTCCAGTACTCCCTGCAGGCTTTCTGCTGGTTCTCTAACTGATGTCAGCTCATGGTTAGATCCTCCAACCAATTAATTGGTGATTCTTCACTTTAGTTTAGGAAGAAAACACAATCAGACTCAAACAGGATAATATTACCCGGTTCTGAGCTGATGTATGCATTCACGGGAATTGATAATTAAACCAAACTTAGAAAATCATGGTATAAACCAATAAAAATTCGAGTTCCCCCGTCTGTCGGAATAAATTATCTAATATTCTAAGCTATTAGCCACATATTCTATAAGGACTAATGATGGTACTGATTCGCCCAGACTGAAATGAGCGTAGTGGAGCTTGAATTCAAGACTCATTTGCCTAAAGTTGAATGCTTATCCAATGAATCACATCTCTCCTAGCAAATATCGTCAGTGGAAGTCAGCAAGTCGAATGCAACACGAAGACCAGTTTGGAGTACAACGGATCAATGCTGTATGTAATAACAATAAATAATAGTGGTTACAGGATTTCATCATGAGCTGACATCACTTAGAGAACCATTGGAAAACCTTGAATTACTGGACAGCTGTTTCGTCCTAGCTTGGAACTCTTCACAGTACGCACCCACCGGGGTTATCTGGGTTCTAGTGAGAAGTAGTGACCAGTAGGGTGCAGCAGGTCGGATGTGAGGAGAAATACTCACCGCTGAAGACACTGGCTAGTGGTCGCGCTATGTCGTGAATTAGCAGAAGTTGGAATTCATGGGTTGGCCATTGGATTGGGTCCCAGTGGCTGCTTAATGGTCTACGAGCTAGCTCACTAGCCTTGTAACCAGAAGTTCCTGGGTTCGAATCGTGGCGGTGTGTGCGTACTGCTGAAGGGTTAGTCCCAAACTAGTCTGACAAAACACCTGTCTGGCAGGTTTTCCAATGATTCTCTAACTGATTTCAGCTCATGATGAAATCCTGTAACTAATCAATCAAACATGCATCGGTGGCTTAGCGGTTAGGACGCTTGCCGACCATGCACATGGTCCGGGGTTCGATCCCCGGCCAACGGACGCACTCCTTTACCTCGCTCACTAAGCCAGAACTAAAAAGCTGGCGAAGAGGAAAGGTTGGGCATGAGGCTAGCGACCCCATCCTGTAAAAATAAACACTGCTACAGAAACTTCAAGCCTCTAGCTTGAAGCCCTATGTTCCACTGGGAACGTGAAGGAATATAAATATTAAAAAAATCAATCAAATCCCTACAAAATCAATACTTGAATAAATAAAAAAACAAATTTGAACTCCTGACTACTTACCATCTTTAAAATTCACATATGGATTAATTGATGATATATTTAGCGACAGACTGTCTGCACTAATTCGTCTTCTTACATCAGGATTAGTAAATATGGCGACTCTTTGACGACATTGTAAGATATTTGGTGATGAATCGATTGATGAAACACCTTCTGATAATCTTAATTCTTTCATCGTATTAGATTCCTCCATTTTCCAGCTGTGTGAATGAGTAGTTGAATTGATTTGGTTGTTGGTTGCAGCATTTAGGGTATTTGTCATTCTGATAAATGATGGGGAACAAAATAACACATGGCAAAAATTAATGTTTATCGAACAAAGATGGTGAAGTCTCTGAAAGGAATGTGACTGTACATGCGTTATATAATTCAAATATCGTCGGTGGTTCGGTGGTAGAATGCTCATCAGCCACACGGCAAGTGGTTAGGAATTCGATTCTTGGCCGACGCCCTTCTAAACCTCAATTAACAGGTAATAGGTACGATAAAGAGGGGAGGTTGGGCGTGAAGCTAGCAGCTTCACCCTATATAAAAAGATAACGTCACCGCTAGAGAAAGCTTGAGGTGTCACGGTGTCACTGGGCCAGGGACGATTCCCAACCAACGCACTACTAAATCCCCCCCCCAGCTAGTTCACTAACCGGGGGGGGGGGGGGGGCTAGCAATCACACTTCATAAAAATAACGAGAACACAAATGTTGAAGCTTCAAAAGTCCCATGTTTCAATCGAGAAGCAAGAAATGAGAGAATTTAATTGGTGGATGGTGACTAGCAGTGGAATGATCCAGGATAAAGCGCACTTCGTCCTCTACTTGGGACTCGTCAGCTAGTGGATGTACGTGCATTCCCCAGTGACTGATGATGTTCCCACCGAGACTCGTACCAAGTGTCCATAGTTTCAAACGTCAAAGCATTATCCACTAGATCACCTGGGCCATGAGAGCCACTACATCTTGTGCAACGGGTCATATAAATTATTTAACTCAATTTTAGATTTTCCCGTCGACTGATTGGACCGAATTGCTCGGTCTCAGGTTGACATGTCGGCTTCTTGTGTAGATGCTTCGACGATGTCTAGGCATGTAAATAGAAGTTAATCGGAGGATGGTAACTAGCAGTGGAATCCTCCAGGATGCGCATTTCGTCCTGTTTAGGACTCGTCAACTGGATGTACCTGCATTCCCCAGTGAGTGATGATGTGAAGTCAGTGTTTCTATACTGTTCAAAGACTTGAGAAATGCGCCACACACACACACACACAAAGAGAACATTTGCAACAGTCTACTGCAGATTTCGAATAACACCAACCCTCCTCTCTGAAAACCTGAAACCTTATGATTCCTTCGGAATACACAGAACTAAAACAAATTAGGCAAAACATCACTGCCTCCACATGTTTGCGCACCAATTATAAACACTTCGGTCATCTAATCCATATGACGTAATCCACCAATAAGAATTCTAGTATCAATAATAGTAATAATATATTTGTCCTCACTCCCGACCACGTGGACCCCACTGGTCACGACTTCTCACTAGAACTGCAGACAAACTCATCCTCTAGCCAGTCAGTCACTTCAGAGTATCAGCTTCCCTTGTAACGTGAAGGTCTTGGGTTTGAAACCCAGTGGCTACGTACTCTTGATGAGTTCCAAACAAGGACGAAACACCTAAATAATATCACTCGGTGATCAAACTTGGAACAAATGAAATCTCTACAGACAAACTCTTGAAAAAAAACAATAATATAATTTTCAAGAGTTGGTCTGTAAGGATTAAATTTGTTTTTTACGAGTTTGACCACGGATCGATATCAGTTAGGGGAACCATTGAAAACCAGCCACAGGGAGTACTGGACAGCCAGCTGTTTCATCCTAGTTTGGGAATCATCGGCAGTACGCACCCAATACCAAGGTTCGAACCCAGGACCTTCCGGCTACATGGTAAGCTGACTCGTATACCATTTACCCACTGGGAACAGTGACCAGTGAGGTCCATCCAGTCAAGTGTGAGGATAGATGTCCCACCGATGACATGAGTTGGTGGTCGTGCTAAATGCATCACGAATTGGTAGAAGTTAGAATTCATGGGTTGGTAATTGAGTCAGGTGGCTCCCAGTGGGTGAATGGTATACGAGTCACAGCTTGCCTTGTAACCGGGAGGTCCTGGGTTCGAACCCATAGCATTGGATGCGTACTTCCGATGATTCCCAAAAACTAGGATGAAACAGCTGGCTGTGCAGTACTCCCTGTGGCTGGTTTTCAATGGTTCTCTAACTGATATCAGTCCGTGGTCAAACTCGTTAAAAAATAATAATATAATGATTTTATTCCAAACAATAATAATGATACAGAGTGGGATTTTCAGCGTTTCTTGCCTACTGCAACAATTTACCTCCTTTTATAAATATATTAATACATGAAATAGTTAAAATAATAGAAAACACAAATTGAATATAATGAATAATAAGAAAATAATAATTCTGGTAATTTAGAGAAAAACTCACCTATAGCACTGCATGCATTAACACACAACTGGATTATGCGTCAGACAGTGGGAAACGAGAAGACAGGGATATCCTGTCCTGGACCGACGTGAAGAACCTAGAAGACCTGGATTTCGTGGATGATTTATGTTTGATGTCACACAAAATCGAAGACTTACAAGCGAAAACCGACAAACTGGTCGAAGAAGCAGCCAGAGAAGACAGGACTCCAGGTGAACATAGACAAGACGGAGGTTATGAAAATAACCAACCAACCAACAACAACAACAGCAGCAGCAACATCCAACGCCAATCACCATCAACGGGAGGGATTTGAAAGAGGTTACTTCATTCACTTATCTAGGGAGCATTGTCTCAACTACAGGCAGGTGGGACGGACGAGGATGTCAAATCGAGAATCGGGAAGGCGAGAAACACATTCATCAACCTGAAACCAATCTGGAAATCTTCGTCACTCAGCCTGCATCAACAACAAAATTCGGATTTTCAATACAAACGTCAAGTCAGTCAGTTCTTCTATACGGATCACTTGGAACTTGGCGGGTCACAAAGAATATTTCCAACAGCCTGTTGCAGACCTTTATCAACAACAACTGTCTTCGCTCTATACTGAAGATCAGATGGCCGGAAAGAATCACCAACAAGAAACTATGGGAACAAACAAAACAAGAACCAATCGCTGAACAAATATGCAGTAGAGAGTGGAGATGGATTTGACACTCGTGGCTGAGGAGGCCGCTGGGTGACATCGCGCGTCAGGCCATGGCTCGAGTGGAACCCGAAAGGGAAGTGGCGAGTAGGACGTCGAAGGGTGACATGGAGGATCGTGTGAAGAGGAGCTGAAACAGTATGAACTAACATGGATGCAGGTGAAAAGTACAGCTGAAGCCCTATGTTCCACTAGGAACCCAAGGGAACAATAATAATAATAATTTTAGGTTACTAACAAGATAACTAACTTACTGTGTCGCCTCAAACATATCCTTATTTTGTAAAGAATGTCTAGCTTTAATAGGTCGCCTTGTTGATTTCATCATTCCAGTGAGTAATGTTTGTCCACTTCTTCGGCGTTTCTCCACTCCACTTGACTGTCGTTCACGTCGTAAAATAGGATATCTTTCTAGCAAACTGCTGTTGTTGCTACCATTACTATTATTATTATTAATACGACTTTTATTGATTGAATTGTTGACAGAGGATTTGATTTGAGAAGTGTTCACTGATATATTATCATCATTTGGTAAATTAATCTGTTTAGCCTCTCTGTACTGTCTTTGATTTACTCCCATACGTGGACATATTCGACGACAATGGAAGGTATTCTCGCCTGTTGTAGAAATATCAGTTAGATGCTGCTTTCCTGTAGACATCGTTAGTAGTATAAGGGATGAAATTGTAGACGATGGGAAAAAAAATTTAACACCTAATTAGAAAAAAAAAAAGGAACTCAAGTTATTTAGTTGTTGAAATTTAAGTCTTTGTGATATCTCTAGAAAAATAAAAAGATCAAATATCTTCCATTGACACACTTATAACGATAGCCTACAGCGATTAATCTATGCATGATGTTGTCTGTGAACACATTTCAAAAATGATACAATGTGTTAATCAAAAACGAAAATTAAAAATTAAATCTAGAATATCCTTAGTGTTATTTTTGGTTGGGGGGGGGGAAAGGGAAGGGCTTCAACGATACGTGGGTGGATGGATGGATGGATGTGTTGATACAATATGTAATGTGATAAACGCTCATTTCTTTATAGCCTTCCTAAATAAAAACATGGGGAGGGGGGCTAATTTGTGGACAAATTTGAAGAAATTTAAGGATGTTTTCGAGGTTTTAGGGAATAATGTTGTATTTCCCCGAAACTGTCCCCACATTTTTCATTTGGGTTGCTCTCGAAAGGCATAAAAATGATGAACTGTCTAGAAATTACCGGTGGTAGTCAGCAATGGATTGATTGATTGATGCGTAACCATCGCCTCCCCCGACGGACGGGCATTACTAGCTGATATAGGTGTTGTGGGTTGGAAAAGAGTAAGTGTGGTGGCCAAACAAAAACATGGCATCAATCAATCCATGAAATCCTTGACAGTTAAACTGAGTCAGTCAGGTAGGGAGATGCAGACTTCCGGGTTGGGGCCCGCCCTCGGGACTCTAAGAATCAATGGCTGGAGACAATAGGTGACATGGCTGAAAATCGTTGTCAATGGCTTACGCAGATGTATTCAGTCTCTTGGGTAATCTTTCATATTCCTTTCTACCATTACTCATTCTGTTTCACTCTTATACTTGTCAAAACTCTATTGATTCTCTTCATCACTCATTTTCTTGTCTACCTTTGTGTGGTATTTGGAACGTGGCAACTCGAACTGCTGCACTTCGGTGCCAAGTTCTATATTGAATTCAGCCAGCCAGCCAGCCATGGATTGATTTTATAGTGGAGGTATCTTCCATTCAGCTGAATACGCCTACATCCCTACTGTTCAGACAGGGGAACCTTTAATTGGACACTAGTCAGTGACTGGTGTAGTATGTCTAGTTCTTTGTTTGGTGCAGACTGAATTCTATTGTCAGTCAAGTTTGCAATGTGGCCAATACAGTCGTACAGGAGGTCAATCGCGATCTCCACTTGCTCGGTGGTAACTTCGCCTCTGACCGCAGCACTCACTGGATGACACGGGTTCGAATCTCAGAAGGGGCATGAGTTCCCTTCAAGGTTGCAGATACACCGCCTTGCTGACTGATTGATGAGTGCCAGCTAGCACGAAACCTAAGTCCTGCTGATTACCTCCAACCATCTAATATCAATAGGGGCGGGAACCTTTACACCCATTTCATATAGAGGGTATTAGTATTTATTTTAGTCGGTTGGTTGGTTGGTTTCTCTAAGATAGATCACTAGTCTAGTGGACAGAATTTAAAATGATAGTGTGGTGAGAGCTGTCTACTAGCCGAATTGCTAGAGTTATTTACGTCAATGTTTACGTTCTCAAGATTTGTCGTGAGAAAATATGAACAAAAACTGATTCAAAACCGACCACAGCAGACTTTGCGTAGGCGGATACAGTTAACATATGGATGATGTGACATTCAAGAAACAGTCACAAGAGATGAAAGATTAACTTTACGTGAGAAACAACCAATCAGAAGATTGTGTTTTTTTACTTAACTAATCTATAATAATGTACATGAAAATATATAAATATGCTTTGATTTCTTAATAAACGATCTGTTGCCTGACCCTTGTCTTCTGTTGTTACAATAGGTGTTAACACTCACTAACATGCAAATACACCAGATTGACGAATTCTAGAGAGGAAAACACATACATCATAATTCCCACAGCTAGTCCATTACTTGTCATGTGACACCGAACAGAGATGTCAGTCTCAAGAGGACATTTTAGTCCAAACGCCAATTTCTTTTCCTGTCTGGAAAATACATTACAGTACTCCGTGGTTTCCCCCTAGTTCTCTAACTGATATCAGTCCCCACCCCACCCGCCATCCTACTTGAAATCAGTTAAATCCCCCCTGTCAACCAACACAAGAAAAATTAGTCTAATGCTCACCAATAACTAAGTACCGGACAGTGTAACTTGGAATCCTAGCAAGAAGTCGCGCATGAATAGAAATACTCGCTGACGAAATCGGTTGATAGAATTCATGGATTCGATACCTAGCAGTGGGATTATTTCCGGGTACTGACTGATGAAGAGTCCAAAACAAGGACGAAACACGATTGTCTAGTGTAGTACTGCCTGATGGTTTTCAATGGTTCTCTAACTGTTGTTGGTCAGCTCATGATCTAAATCAATAAACTGAAACAAGTTTTTTACTCTAGCACGTCGAATGAATCGATGTGATAGTACTAACCGTGGTAACAGGTCCAGGTAGGTGCTAATAACAAATAAATTACGACTCAAATATCCAATCTCAGCTAATTAATTCTCATAAATGAAAATATTTTTCAAATAATAGAGAAGATTTGTAGCTCAGGTGGATGATTCTCAATTAACAGTGTTCTCTGAGCTGGTTGGTTTAGAAACACAAGTATATAGAAAATCAATACATGCACACACAGATCAAATACTCAACTATACTAGCAATAATCCACTTACTCACAAACGAAACTGTGTGCAGACATTGTTTAAAAGAGTTCAAACACATACATTGTAGCACTCCAGAGTTGAAAAGAATAGAAGAAAAATACCTACAAACAGTCTTCCAGAAGAATGGTTATCCACAAAATTTTATCAAAGTGTTTAAAATCGAATCACAACACCAACAAAGAACCATCATCAAAGACCACAAGAAAATTCATTCTACCATACATGAGAAATATCTCTAAAATAACAGCTAGAATACTGAAACTGTTTGATATAGATATAGCACACAAGCCAGCCAAACGATCACTTCATTCGATATTATGCAAACCGAAAGATCCAACAGAAAAAGGGGATAAAATTAATACCATTTACAAAATAAATTGTATGAACTGTAACAAGCATTACATCGTTGGCCAAAGTGGGCGTCCCCTTCGAATTAGAATCCAAGAACACAAATCAGCCGTGAAAAGACACGATATGTATTCTTTAGTATCAATGCATATAGACAATTATGGACATCAATTTGATTGGGATAATGTCGAAATCTTAGACAGAGGAAACACCAAAAGTGTAGTCAGGGAATTCCTAGAAGCCTGGTACTCAAACGAAAATGCAATTAACAAACACGTTAATATAGACGAAATATACCAACTAATAAAAAGTAAATCAAGTGACCAGAAAGTTTAAAATCCAAGTCAATAGAAAATAGTCAATACATATGTAAAGATGGTTACCGGGAGACGCAATTATATCACTCATGAAGAAATTTAAATCATTTCACTTTATGCTAAATATTGCGCTGAAGGGGGATGTTGTCCAGAAGGACGACGAAAGCTCCGCAACTAAACCAACCAGCTCAGAGAACACTATTAATTGAGAAAATATTTTTCCTTCTTTATACAATAAAATTAAGAAGCGATATAATTTCGTGGGTGGTGACTAGTGGGGGAATATAGGACACGTGCATTTCGTCCTAACTAGGACTCATCAACTAGATTTTTTTATATTTTCATTATAGCTTGATTCCACACAGCACTTTTGGTACAAGTGTAGAATTTTCAGCATGTGATATCGGTAGCCCAAATTTTGCAGGTTAACCATTGATATCAGGTGTGCGTCGGTTGGGGATCGAACCCTGGACCATGTGCATGGCCGACGAGAGTCTTAACCGCTGTGCCACCGATGTACTTACATTCCCCAGTGAGTGATGATTGGGCCCCTTCTAAGAGTCGAACCCAGTACCCATCCACCAGAACACTTGGGCCACGACATCGTCGAACTAACTGTCGATAGAGGGTGAACATTCCAGTCCGAAGAATCAAGAGGAAAATCAAAACTGACTTAGAAACAAATAATATGAAACTTATGGTATTAAAAAGGGAATTTTAAAGCAAAAAAAACACAGCATTAAACCAATAATGGCTGACTTACTCAATCTTCCCAAGATGATAGAAAATATATCCCCACACACTGTTTAGTTGATACAATTTACAATCCACAGAAATTAGTTTTAAACACTAAGGTAGAAGAGAATAGACGATATTGTTACCTAACTGAATTATCATGCATATTTATATATATATATGGATAGAAAATAAATTCTCTAAATATGATTGGTCAGTTTTATTTCTATAGTTGAGATGGGGAAGACAGTAAGGCGTGAAAATGTTTAGGCTTTGGATTAATCTAATTGGTTGGTTGGCTAAATTTTTCCAGGGGGATTAACAAGTGGGTCAGCTTGGCTAGGAATAAGATTATAAGTAATGGGGTGGGTGGGGGAGGGGAAGTGGAGAGGTAATAGGCAATAGAATGAGATGACATTATCCAATTATGTGATTTATAAAACGAAATGCCCAACATGTGAATAGAAATGAAGGTAATATTTACAACAGTTAGGTATGACATTACCCATTATAAATCTGATTAATCCAAATTAATTATTTGATAGATGGTAGAAACTAGAGAAAATGTTTCAAGTTTGGTAACGGGGCACAGTAGGTCGGGCGTGAGTACAAATACTTGCCGCCGTTGACACTGGCGGAAGTTGGAATTCATGTATTGACTGGCCATTGGATTGGGTCCCAGTGGCTTAATAGTCTACGAGCTAGCTCGCTAGCCTTGTAATCAGAAGGTCCTGGGTTCGAACCCCGGAGGATACGTACTGTTGAAGAGTCTCAAAGTAGGCTGACGAAACAGCTGTCTGGTAGTACTCCTTGATGGTGGTTCTCTAGTCGGTGTCAGCTCATGATGAAATCCTAGAACCAAGACAGATATCAGCTGAAGGACTGCTGAGGAACATCAGGGAGCACTCAACAGAGGTTTCGCCCTAATTTAGAATTTATCGGCAGTACGGACCCATAGGCACTCGAACCCAGGATCCTAGGGTTGCTAGTCAATCTCGTAGACCATTCAGCCAATGGAACCCGACTCAATGCCCCATGGATTTTAACTTCTACTGATTCGTGATTTGAGAGCGACCGGCACTAGCCAATGTCATCGCTGGCCAGTATTTGTTCTCACTGCCGACCTGCCGGTAAACCTCAGTGGTCACAATTTCTCACAAGAACGCCGGACAACTTCGGCCTGCAGTGAGTCATTAGCAAGCATCCAGTACTCCCTGACACTCAATGATTCTCTATTTTATTTTTTATTTTTTTTTAAATTTTCGATAACAGCTTGATGCCACACCGTATTTTCAGTACAAGTATGGAATTTTCAGCATGGATATCGGTAGCCCAAATTTTGCAGGCCAACCATAGATATCGGGTGTGCGTCGGCAGGGGATCGAACCCCGGACCATGTGCATGGTCGGCAAGAGTACTAACCACTTTGCCACCGACGCTCACTAACTGATATCAGTGCGTGGTCAAACTTGTGAAAATTAAAAATATGCCTGATTGGTTGGCTAATGCACTCCTCTCGTAACCTGAATTTCCTAGATTTATTCCCCCACCTTGCCCGTAGGGTCATGAGTGTGTATTGTTGGAGAATCAGACCCATATTAGAACCGAGCAACTGTTAAGTCCCCCCCTGGTTTTCGATACTTCTCTAGCTGGTGTCACTTCGTGATAAAATAGGTTACTTATTTAGATGTCAAACGCTCTAGCTACGCAAATTAAAATGTTCCATGATCAGCTGAGATAAAGGCATAAATGTTGCTAGTGATTGCATCACTTCATCTCCCGCGATACATAGTTGTTGTTCTGTCTACTCAATTTTCCTAATATTTTCAAAACTAGTTAGTCTAGTTCAGTATTCATTATTACTATTTATTATTGTTTCCTTTAATTCCTACAGGAACATAGGGCTTCAGTCGTGCGTCTCCATTGCGTTCGGTTCACCTGGCTCCAAGTCTGCCCACACGTTTTCATCTCCTATTCACATGACTTCCTCCAAGTCACCCTTGCACTGACAACCAACTCGCCACTTCCCTTTCGGGTTCCACTCGAGCAATGGCTTGTCTAGTGATGTTACTTGATGATTTGTTTCCTCAGAGTATGGTCAATCCATCTCCATTTCTTCCTACCTATTTGTTTCACAATCAGTTCCTGCTGGGTTGGTTCGCTCATTGCCAGAGATCTCTGTTGCTGATCTTTTCTGATTGGCCATTTGATCTTGAGTATTGAGCGAAGACAACTGTTAATGAAGGTCTGTAGTTTGTTTGAGATGCTCTTTATGACGCGCAGTGCAAGTCTCTGATCCGTATAGTGAGTGGCACTGACTTCACATTGGAGTTGAAAATCCGGATCTTATTTTACATGCTGAGTAGTGCTGTTCACCTCCACACAGACTTGAGAGTAGTGAAAGCTTGTCTTGCTTTTCCGATTCTTGCTTTGATATCCTCGTCAGTTCCATCGGCCTGTAGTTGAAACGATGCTTCCCAGGTCGGTAGGTAAATGAGGTTGTTTCTTTCAGGTTCCTCCCATTCATGCTGATTGTTGTCTGTTGTTGTTGTTCTTGTCCAGGAATCTTCATCACCTCTGTTTACTCTATGTTCACCTGAAGTCCTATCTTTGATGCTTCTTCTGACGACTTGTTGGTTTTCGCTTGCATATCTTCCAGTTTGTGGGAAATCAGACATATATCATCGGCGAAGTCCAGATCCTCCTTGACGCGCTTTCTGATTACTACGTTACATTTTCATAGTTACCTAAAACTCTTATTTTTGTGGAATATCCTGCCAAAAGGTTGCAAAAACTGAAAATATAAATAAAATTAAAAGTTAAAACAAAATTAACCAGAGGAATTTGTCCACATTTACGGTATAAAGTCAAAAATATTCGAAGTACGAATTGAGAATAATAACTGTGATAATAATAATAACAGTGAGTTTGTTTCAAACAGCACTGGCGATTCAGTTTGAAAATTTTAGCATGTTATAGATTATTGAATCTAATGTTCTGTTGGTATAGCAGCATGGTGAGGGGGAAATACAAAATTAACAGTTATAACGCAGCCTAAATGATTTTCACACTTATGAAAAAAGAAACAAATAAAGAACAAAAACTTGAGCGAATTATAAATATTAAAGGGACAATAACATTTAAGCTTGATGTTATAAGGGTGAAGGAAATGGTTTATTTACTAGTGCAAAGAAGGTTAGTTAGTTCATGCCTTACACTATTTTCATCACATAAAGTACGTGCCTCCAAATATGGTATAGTGGGATTTTTATACTTAGACGTACGTGCATAAAGTCTTCTGAGAAGACTTCTTGTTTTACCTGAGGAGACACAAGGTTGGAGCTGCGGGTAAAGTGGATGCTCATAGTGTGACAAAATTCCTCCAGCAAATTTGTTGCATGACATCAAGTGCCTATCAATGACAATGTCAACGATATGGCCCAATGGGATACCACTCGCACTACTGACAGTCTTCAGAGTTCTACGACATAGTATGACAGTCTTTTTTAAGCAATCCAGGAAAGAATAAGGGTGAACAGTAAAGAAGAATAGGTAAAATACACGAGTTGACAAACTGTAAGAGGAGGGGTTGGGTTATGCATGAGTGCCTCAACTTCTTAGTGTAAAAAGTCAGACGAAATATTATTTTAGAAATCGCTAAGACATGGGAAGACCAGGATAGGTTAGAAGAAAGAATTAATCCAAGATAATTAACTTCACACTTGATTTATATATCAGTATCATCAATTTTGCAAGGGTCATAGGAACCAACAGCTTCATTTAACTTTCTTTTACATCGGAAACTGAAATTAACAGTCTGACATTTGAAAGGATTAAGTTTAAGGCCGTTAGACGAAGACCATTTGCTGAAGACTCCTGATAGAAAGCTGTTCACCTTAGTACAGTCTAGCTGGGAGTTAACAGTTAACTAACAAGGTGACATTTCGATATCAATTTATTGCCAATGCTCATACGGCTTCATAATATGCTGTCTATGTGGTGCTCGAAACGTCATCCACTGATTGATGTACTGTATCCCCCCGTGTATTATATCAAATAAACTTATCTACAATATGGAATTACATTCTACTACACAATGCCCACAGTGGTAGTCGACTCAGAGGTATATTGTAGGTGACACCAACTCAGATGACCTTGGTTTATCAAACTATCATTGATAAGTAGTGAGTGATGGCTAAAGGTGAAGTGAAAGTTTGAATTTTGGCAGAATCCGAATCAGCAACCTCTGAATAACCATTTCATTGATCTGTCAGATAAACAATATGAAACAATGATATTCATAGAAGTTGAGTTAACAGGCATTTATTGCTCTAAAGTCGGTGTGGAAATCCTCCACACACTTAACACAATTGAAGAAGGTCCTTTTTTGAATAAAGCAAGAACAACAGTGGTTTGTGCAGAATAATAAGATGGTACCATCACTGTTTATTTCGTTGGCTCCTCATCAGCTGTTGACAGACCAAATAAATTATGAGGTTTGGGTACAGAAAACTTTTAACATACTTGCAAATTTTACATGTTGTCAGTTGACAAAAAGTTCCACAGTAGGTGAACAGTGCTCAGAAAATTGAGCTTATATAGTTTCTACACAGGCAGTTCAAGTTTAAACAAAATAGATGTATGCATACAATGGTAAAAGAGTTAAGTAATATAGACGAAATATGCGTTAGATGCATAGTGACTAATAAATTAGGTAACAATTTACTGAGTTCAACTCAAATCATAGAAACAAGAGACAAGCAAAATTACAGATTATAAAAGGGGGTGAGGTTAAAGACAAAGATTACGTAATCAGATGAGAGAATAAAGACATTCAGTTACCAGGGCAAAGAAAGATTAATAACTGCTTCTTTCTGAACACATAAATCTGGTTTCAAGCGTTTGATAGAGACTGCTTCGGAAAACTTGAGGAGAATGGAACTTCTTTGTCTATTGATAATTTTAAAGGATTTCTCGATTTCTACCTCATGACCCGTGTCGAGAAGATGTCTAGTAATAGCGCTGCTATAAGAGTTTGTTCCCTTGAGACGTAGGCTTTTTGGTACATGTTCAGAAAATCGGAGGTGTACCCTTCTTTCTGTTCTCCCAGTGTAACTGCTCCCG